ACTCCAACACTCCTTATTCCTTAACAGTGATATGACTTTCTGATGTTTCAACAGTTTTATGTCTTCTAGTTTTTGAAAGCAAATATTCCTAGAATGTTATAATCAAGGAGTTTTTTTAAATACTTGTGAAACTAATTGTCATAAGTTTGTTCAGGTATCTGTTGTGGTTATTTTTCTCTAGCCTTTTTTACGGCTTTTAATGCTAAATTAAAAAACAACAGCAAATAAATCATTATAGTTTCTTATATAAACTGCTGCGTCCTGCAGCAATACAGAAGATTGTAAAACTGTACATTATGATTTCTGTTTAAATACTGAAACTAAAACACACAATTTCATTACAGATATCCGTGTATATGTATTTTGTTATACATAAAACAAATATATTCTTGGTCTCAGGTCAGATTGACACATAAGGTGCACTCTTATCTCTTGAGAACAAAGATAACATTGATAACTTTATTGTTTCTCTGATTTAATTGTATCTGTTTTTGCATCATTTAAGGTATTATTTCTATTTCAAAAAGCTATTTTATTTGTTTTTGTTCTTGCAGTGCAGGTTATTCCTGTACATTGTTTTCAATTGAAACCAAAAATATAAACAACAGTTGTAAATAAATGGGATGCTAGTTTATTTCACTTTTAGAAACTTTAGATGATTCACTTCAATTAGGGGCTGTAAACAGCCCTGCCACAGCTGCAGTGAGTTTATAGACGGTCCATGAATTATCTGATCAATGCACTATTATTGCAGCAACAGGTATTATTGGTAGGAATAGTTTACCCATTTTTTTATTTATTGGAAACACAAATAACAATATTATTGATGCTACTTACATTATTCATACATTGTGTATTAACTGTGTACTAATTAATACATATTTACTCCAAACTCCAAAAGTTAATTACATGCCTGCTAAATGCAGGATATGTTTAAGGCAGACATACTTATTTGTCTGAATGTTATTTTTAATTCATTCTCATCTCAATAGGCGGTTAATTGGTTTTAAAGCAAGAAGATGGGCTTTTTTGTGTGGATAAAATTATTTGCAAATGGCCAAATTACAGAACAAAAAATCCCTTTTGCAAAGTTAGGAATGATATAGTCCTCTCTAAGCCATCTGACCAGCAGTGTGCAGCAGTGGGCGGGGGAGGGGGGGGCAGTGCTCTCTGCCACATCAACCCAAAGAAAGTTCCTCTCTCTTTTGCATCATAATAGAGTCTCATTGACCAATATGGCAGCCAGCTGTAGCTGATCTGTTAACAGCTGCCAATCAGCTGTTTCTGCAGGTAAAATCGGGGACATTTCCGGGGACAGCTTTAGCTGGGGGTCCAAAACAGGGACCGTCCCTGTGGACATCTGGTCACTGTACTCTCTATAACACCACATTAACATTCACCTTCATATAAACTAACCAAAAAGTTCTCCAAAGGCAGCAAAACAAGGCCAGATTTACCTATCATTGAAATCTCCAGATGCTTCAGTTCACTGATTAAATTCCTTCCTTTGCTACCATCTATGATGTTTCTCTGTTTAACCTCCTGTTTCCTTCTGCAGGGTTCCTGAGGGACAAACTGGGAAGCTACGACGTGGCCTTCTACCTGGCAGGCATCCCCCCCATCATCGGGGGGCTGGTGTTGTGCCTTATACCCTGGGTGGAGGCCAGGAACAAGAGGAAGCAAAAGGAGGAGGGCCTGAGCAAAGAGCAGGGCGTCAGCCAGAAGATGATAGAGGATGAGAAGCATCAGGAAGAAGCTAAGAACAAAATAGGAGATTCTGTTCTCTAAGGAACTCCATATGCCCCCAAAAACCCCCAAACAAACTGAAGAGACAATCATTTGGTCAGCCTGGGGGGTCAGTGCTGACCAGCAGTGTTAAAATGCTTTTCCTTTGTGTTTTTAGACAAAATTTTAATGACTTCCTTGGATGATGAAATTCCAAAGCCATACATATCGAAGTTAAAGTGTTTGAATGAAAGCTGAGAGAAATGTGATCCTGATCCTTAGACCTCACTATAAAGCTGCTCACTCAGTCCTCAGTATCTTTACCAACTTCCACAAGTTTCGCCTGGCAGCTTAATCTGCAAAAAAGGCTCTGCTTGACACTACCATGTAGCTGAAACATGTGGCATAATCCAAGCATCAGGATTAAACAAGGGGAAAGAGTTCAGCTCGCTTTCTGCTTTGCTTTATGTCAGGATGAAGGAATGGGCTCCTGAGCCTCTTACTTAACGGGCTCCTCTGTGTTTCGCTCAGGGGCCGCTCATATCTGAAAGGGACATTCGTTAACCAGAGAAATCTCTGAGATTTATCTTAATTTGTGACATTTTCGAGGTAGATTTTCCCCCACAGGCTATGATGGCGGTTAACTGGAGGTTTGTGTCTCTAACTGATCCGTCCCATCAGCTCATGCTGCATCCAGATATACATCCTGGTCGTCCTCCATTTTATTTTGTAAAAAAGACCCAAATTACATTTTTCCCTCCCCAAACATAGGAACCGTACTAAAACATAATGTTTTAAAGGTTAATAATGAATTTCCTAAGATAATAAATGCCTTAAAATCCTTTCTGTTTTATCACTCTGTGCCCGATCTGCAGAGGAAATGGGATCCTACGCTACTTTGAGGAGCTAACTTTTTCAGCCTTAGATTTAAACATAAATCTAGTCTTTTTGAGTTTTATGTTTTCCTTTCATGTCAACATTATGCTATAGAGTGCATAATCTAAAGAAAGAAACAACTAAATTGCAGATAAACATGGTTTAATCATATTTTGCCGGACTGTTCTGAGCATGTCCCATGATGACGTCACAGAAGCAGTTTAACGAAAAAGAATGTAAAAATCATCAAAATCGTCTCAAGATGTCATCAAAGATGTGTATTAGTATTCTTTAGTGAGTTAAGGATAAAAATAAGTAATTTTAGTACCATAATGACGATATTTATAGACGCCTGGATGTATATCTGTTTGCACGTACGCAGGACTGATCGGGTAGTGACACTTTGTAAGCACAGCACAAGCTAAAATGGTAAACGTCAGATAATAACTAACCGTGTGCTTTAGATCACTTTTACATAGTTTTAAAAATGAAGCAATCCAAATGAAGCTGCTTCCTTATATCTTCCAAACCCCCAACGACCGTAGCTTAACTAGAAGTAAACCTCAGGAGTTTTTATGTGAACAATTAGGATTTTTTTGTTTTTGTTTTGGTTAAATGTTGAACTATTCCTTTAACATTACCAACGATTGTTTCTATATCATCGATTGAATATTTAGAGTTGCCTTCATCCCTCTACATGCCTTTACAGGTGTTTGGAATGTGTTCGTTTTTGTTTTTGCTGTGATTTTATACAATGACCAAAAGGAACAAATGCTCTGCAAATACATTGATGTGCAGCAAATATAAAAAGTACTACAAACACATGCATAGGAAACAAGCCGTAATCAAGCGAGGCGTCGTCCACAGCTTCCAGTGTGACGTCATTGGGGGTGACAGTGGACAGTAAAGGGGTAGTGCATGGCACTTCCAGCGTTTTTTTTTTCCTTTCTATGTGTTTAGTTTGATTGTGTTTCATATTTTTACAGTGAGGTTTATGTTTGCGGGGCGTTTATATGTTTGCACTTCGCTTCTCTCCAGTTTCTTTTGTTTTTTTCCTTTGCATCTGTTTTGCTCATTAGTCAGTTTGTCTTTGCAGCACCTCTGGGCCACCGTAGATTTAGTGCAAACTTTTTAAACACAATCAGTGGCTCTTGAAAGTATTCACACCTTTTTAAGCTTTTCCTCATGTTTTCACATAACAACCACCGCCTTTGGTTTATTTATTTTAAATTTAACCCCAGAGACCAACCCTAAAGCATCCCCACAGCATTATGCTGCCACTGCTGGGTTTCAGAGTGGGGGGCGGTGCATTCAGGAGGAGTCGTTCCAATATATGTTGCTTTCAGCCTGTTCTTATGTGACTACTTCTGCTGTGTCCCCCTTGTGGTGACGTGCAAATAAGGCTTAATGAGAACAGCATGTTTCAGATTTTAAATCTGTAGTGTTTTGAAAGTCACAAAACCTCCCAACACTATAATGCTGAAAACCAGATAAGGTCCAGGTGATAAAGCTGCTGTCAAAACAACCAAAGGTTACCTGTTTGGATGGAAGATCAAGTCATTTCACATCCCATAAAAGCTGAGCTGAATGTGATGAGCTAGTGAAAACATGCTATCATTCATTCACCTGCTGTATCTTATCATCTGAGAGTTTCCCCTGTTTGAATGGACCTGTGCTTTAACCATTAACTACACGACCATCAGGCGATAGGAGCCCAGTTAATCAGTAACCTCGGTCCAATAACTTATATAGAGCTCTTCCAAATATAACAATATTTAATTTTCATAGCAGACGGGACGATTTGCCATTCTTTGGAACCCGATAAAAACAAAAATGAGCATCATTTCGTTCTCAGACAATACTTACCTGACCCATATGCCCTCATGTTATAACTGTCTGACGAAAAACCGTCATATTTTTAGGGAGAAGGGTATAGAACTGCTATAACTTCTAAAAAAACTGACTTATGAAGTTGGCAATATTACCATTTAAAAGCTAATAAAATTCTCCACTTGTCCATGTAAAACGATATACAATTAGTTTTATTTGTACATTACATATTTTATAAAAATACCCATAAAACAGGAAATTCCATTTTTCTTGATTAAAAATTGAAAATACCAATGTCTTTGTACAAAGTATAGACAAAGAAAATAACTTTATTTGAATCAGTTGACTTCTACATTATGAATTTCAAGAAATGAAATTTTTTGTTTTACTGGGTTTTAAAAAAATATGTTATGTACAAATATATGCAAATAAAACAAATTGTACATATTTTTAAATCGACTAGTAGAGAATTTTATTAGGTTTTAAACGGTGTTATTTGCAACTTTGTAAGTCTTTTTATTTATTTAGTAGTTATGGCAAAATTCTATACCCCACCCTCTAAAAATGTGATGGTTTTCATTATTTAGATCAGGGGTCTTCAATGTTTTCCAGGCCAAGGACCCCCTAGGTATATATATAGTATGAAACAGTGTTTTATCAAACTGGTCCTATAGTCACTCTATTACAGATGGAGTAATGTAATGAAAGTATTTTCTCCCTGGGATTATTAAAATCTCTGAATGTGTGCATTGATGACTGAAAGACATCTTCTGCCTCCATTTATCTGTTTACTACAGTGTGTTGAATTCATGTTAAAGTGGATTTAAAGACATTTCAATGAATGGAAACCAAAACTTTCATGACCCCCATGCAGTAGCTCCATGGACCCCCAGGGTCGCAGACCCCTGTTGAAGACCTATGATCTAGACTTTATAATTCGAGGACCTTTGGGTCAGGCATAAGCACTGTCAGAACGAAATGATTGAGATATTTGAGTTTGTCATGATTCCAAAGAATGGGAATCACCCAGTCTGCTGTGAAAATCAAATATTGTTATTTTTTAAAGAGGTCTAAACTTATAAGAGGAAGATATGTCTTGTATTTATTTTTTTGTAGGAATTTGATGCCATAATGAACCAACGTTCACCTCCAGCCTTTGTGTTAGTGGCTACAGACCAAAGTGTGACTAAATAAGTATCTGTGGAAATGTGTCTGGCCTGTTCGCTGTGAGGCCTGCTTCCTGGTAGTGGAGCCATCTGAACATGCCGCTGGTCGCTCTGTCCACGCCATCGGGATGGGACAGTTCCTGAAAAGCAACGCCGCTGTTATACAGCCTGCAGAGGAGGAAGTGTGACCAGAAATATCTCCCAGCTATGAAGCACTTTCTGCACAAAACCAGAGAGGCCTTTATTAAATGCAAGAAGTGAGAGTTTAATAAATGTTTACTAGTTGTCTCCCTTTATTAGATATTGTTAAAATAACTCAGTCTTTAGCATACAGATAACTTGTTATATCTGATGACTTATGAATGATGCATCGACAGCCTTAAATACTGTAATTTCTTATCACTATTGAAACATTTAGGACTTATTTTCTAATTTCACTTGTCTTATATTAAATAGATGCTTCATGATTTAATTTTTTTCCAATCAAAGTGACATATTCAAGTGTTTTCTATCTGTTATACGTCTGTCATGTTGGGCTCTTTTCAGCCCTGATGCTTTTAGCATTTTATTGTTTACTAATCCTGAATCTTGTGGCAGCCGATCCGACCACTGGCCTCATGCACAATATCAGCGCACATGAATGCATTTGGCTAATCTTTGCTGTTTTTGTCTTAGTTTGTTGAATTTTTTTTTCTATAAATTCTGTTATTTTAATGCTCTTTGGGATAAAATTGAAAATGTTTGCCCTGTACAACTGCCCTACACCCACAGTGTTCTGCTTGGGGTTTACTTTATTGGTAAATGTGCAATTTATGGAACCAATCACATTTCAATATTTTAAAGAAAGTAAAAAAGATTTCAGGAATTTACTGACTTTGTTTTTTATTGAGTCTGTTGCACTTTGGTCTGCATCATATCACTGGACTCTGAGTCTCCTTTTATTATTTTACTTACAGACATACTTAGTAAATGAAATATGAGGTAATTTACTATGAGAATAAATGAATTATTATGATGCTTCTTACTCTAGATGAAAACATGATTTAAGTTTTAAGAAATTTTTAAAAGACCCGCCCTCTCCACTTTAAAGTCGTAGGGAAAGAATATTTGAATGTCAAATCATTTTGGGTTAAACATGTATATACATGTACTTTTTAATAGATGATATTTTCCCAAAATTTAGAAAATTTATATCTAAAAAAAAAAAAATCCTTTCTTAAAGGAATAGTACACCCAAAACATGATTAGCCTTCATTTTCTACTCACCCCCATGCTGAACAACACTCTGGAGTACTTTTTTGATATC